CTGTGCAGAAGCTTTTTATTTTGATGAGGTCCCAGTAGTTCATTTTTGCTTTTGTTTCCCTTACCTCCAGAGATGTGTTGAGTAAGAAGTTGCTGCGGGCAAGATCAGAGAGGTTTTTGCCTGCTTGCTTCTCGAGGATTTTTATGGCTTCCTGTCTTACATTGAGGTCTTTCACCCATTTTGAGTTTATTTTTGTGTATGGTGTAAGAAAGTGGTCCAGGTTCATTCTTCTGCATGTTGCTGTCCAGTTTTCCCAGCACCACTTGCTGAAGAGACTGTCTTTATTCCATTGGATATTCTTTCCTGCTTTGTCAAAGATTAGTTGGCCATATGTTTGTGGGTCCATTACTGGGTTCTCTATTCTGTTCTGAGTGTCTGTTCTTGTGCCAGTACCATACAGTCTTGATGATTACAGCTTTGTAGTATAGCTTGAAATCTGGGATTGTGATGCCTCCTGCTTTGGTTTTCTTTTTCAAGATTGCTTTAACTATTCGGGGTCTTTTGTGGTTCCATACAAATATTAGGATTATTTGTTCTAGCTCTGTGAAAAATGCTGGCATTATTTTGATAGGGATTGCATTGAATATGTAGATTGCTTTGGGTAGTATTGACATTTTAACAATATTTGTTCTTCCTATACAGGAGCATGGAATCTTTTCCCATTTTTTTGTGTCTTCTTCAATTTCTTTCATAAGTTTTCTATAATTTTCAGGGTATAGATTTTTCACCTCTTTGGTTAGATTTATTCCTAGGTATTTTATGGTTTTTGGTGCAACTGTAAATGGGATCGATTCCTTGATTTCTCTTTCTGTCACTTCATTGTTGGTGTATAGGAATGCAACCGATTTCTGTGCATTGATTTTATATCCTGCCACTTTGCTGAGTTCATGAATCAATTCTAGCAGTTTTTTGGTGGAACCTTTTGGGTTTTCCATATAGAGTATCATGAGATGACTTCTTCTTTAGAAGCCACTCTCTCCTAATTGCGGTCAGAAAAGAGTTTTTCAGGCTCTTCTTGAATTAATTTAAATGTAATTAAGCTCTATAGCTTTATGTCTTTGCTACTATGCACACAATTTCCCATTTATGAATGTACCTTGGCAATGAGTGACAGACAAGACCCAAATTAGCTCTGGATTGGTCTGACAATCAGAGAATTGTGCCTAACCATGTTTTCTGTCACAAATGCTTTGGATTTAGAGTTTTTAGATGGCCAAATTCAAATTTAGAAGCTTTTTGGTGGGGGGGGGGAATGAATAACAAAGAAATTTTTAACTTTTTGAGCGTCTTTAATTTTACTACTTTCTCCTCTTCTTAATGCAATGTACTGCATGTAAACTTTTCTCATTAACATTTAATTCTGTGTGTGGCATGGCACTGATTTATCTATTTGATTATCTGTTCATTCAGCAGATATTTGTTAAGTTCCTACCATGTTCCAGGCATCATTTTAGCCACTTTGTTGAAAATAAATACTTGCTACATGGAGCCTAAATCCCAAAGAGGAAAATAAAAAATAAATATGAAATATGTTTTGAGGTGATAATTCTATGAACAAAATTAAGCAGACTAAGGCGGATGAGGAGGGTACTGGTCAATAAAGGCTGCTCTGATAAAGTACAATGGAGTATTTAAGCAAAGGACTACAGGAGGCAAGGAAATGAGCCATGCAGATATTGGAGGAGGGAAAGGAGGGATGGGCAGAAAGGCAATATTACAGGAGAATAGACAAGATGAAGCCCTGAGCCAGCAACATCCTGAAAGGGGGCCAGGGTAGCTGAAGCAAGGGCACAGTGATAGAAAGCAAGAATAGTCCGAGGAGAATAAAAGAAAGGGAGGTCAAGGGGGACGGTAAGTTAATAGAGGATCTTGGAAGCTGTAGAATAGACCTTGGATTATACTGTGAGATGCAAAAACCACTGAAGACCTTAGGCAGAAAGTGACCTATTTAAGATCAGTTTGAAGGGATCGTCTCTCCTATAATGTGGATAATAGACCATGGAAGCAAATGTGGAAGCAGGGAGGCCACATAGGGTTTACTGCAACCATCCATAGAAGACAGGATAGAGACCAGATCCAGAGTAGTAGGAGTAGAATTGTTAGGAAGTGGCCAAATATTGGATATATTCAAAGGAAGAGGCCCAAGTTTTTGCTGTTGATTGTGTGAAGGGAGAGAGAGACAGAGACAGGGAGAGAAAGGAAGCAAAGCTGACTCCATGGATTTAAGCCTGAGGAACATGAAGAACAAATATATCATTTGCAAAATAAGAAATTTTGGAGTAATTGAAGGGTGAGGGGGTTAGAAATGGCCTCTGTTTTGGGATGTGTTTGTTTGAGGTGGGAGTTAGACCTCCAGATGAAATGTCATGTAGGCAGTTTGATAAATAAATCCGAGTTCAGGGGAGATATCCAAGCTGAAGTAATAAATTTGTGCATATTAACATATTGATGTATTTCAAGCCATGGGCCTGGATGTGATCCCCTAGGTTGAAAAGTGTAGACAGAAAAGAAGATGTAATCCAGACAGAAACATATGCCTTGAAAATACATAATCAACACCATTGGGGACAAAATGAAGAAGCAGAAGCTGTATGGTAAAATGGTTGGGCAGAGTCACTCCCAGTGTTAGGCTCACCTCGGCTCCATAGGATACTAGAGTTAAGTCTGTATCCTAGGACTCTTTTCTTGGTATATCCTTCTAGATTTCCATCCAGATTTTGGTGAAGATATAAACCATGTGATTTTAAAATTGGCAGATGACACAAAGTAAGAAGGAACAGTTTAAAATGTGTTAGATTATAGGGGCGTCTGGGTGGCTCCATCAGTTAAGCATCCTGCTTCAGCACAGGTCATGATCTTGCAGTTCTTGGGTTTGAGCCCCACATCAGGCTTTACACTGATAATGCAGAGCCTGCTTCAGATTCTTTTTCTCTCCCTCTCTCTGCCCCTTCAGCTCTCTCTCTCTCTCTCAAAATAAATAAATAAACTTTAATAAAATAAAATAAAATGTGTTATAGTAAAAAACTAAAAATTAACTGAATACTTTGAAACAATGAGCAAAACCAAGATTAACTTCAACAGCATAAAAGTAAAGTTCCAAATTTAGACTGAAAATTGAAATATTACACATATAAAAGAGCCATAGCTAGTTTCACAACATTTTTTTTACACCTGGGCATTTTTGCTGACCTCAAACTCTGTATAAATCAACAGAGTTATGTATTATAATGTTATAATACATGTTTGTATTTGGTATAATGCTATACCAAACAGAATTTGGTTTTCTTGATTATTGTAACTACATCTGGATTAACCTATCACATTGCAAATAACCCGTTTTAAGAACTTTTACAAGGTAGATAAGCTAAGAGTTACTGGTAAGAGGTAGGAGTTGAATAGTGAACCAAGGAAATAGTGAGAAGATGATCTTAAAAATAATATTATTTTATGATAATACAAATCAAATCAACAGTTGCTTCTAGTGGGGAGCAGGGATGAAGATACTGACTAGGAAGAGGCATAAGGGGACCTTGTGGGGTGAAATTTTTTGTCTTGCTATGGAAGCTACAGTGTGTTCATTTGTCAAAACTGATTCAACTGTCTCTTAAAATGTGTATATTTTACTTCTTATACATATACTTCCATTAAAAAAAGAAGAATGGCCTCAAACAAAAATGTTTAGTTATGGGATGTTTAGTTATGGGAAAAAAATAAATTCAAGAGGAGCAGAGGTTACATATATTAAAGTCACTTATATGGATAAGGAATGAGACTTACTCTATATTGTTTAGCAAAATAACACTCAACTGTAAACTCCATTTCTGAGCAACAGGCCCTGTACAGAGAAGGAAAACCTCT